TTATATCAGTCCTCCTATATGGTAGTGAATATTGAGCAATCTTCTCACAAATGAAGAAGAGACTTGAGTTAACAGAAATCTGGTTATACGGAAGGATACTGAGGATACCATGGACCGAACATGGAACCAAAAAGGAAAACTTATACTTAACATCAGGAAGAGACAGTTGAAATTTCTACAGAAGGATGCTGAGTATACCATGGACCGAACATGTGAGCAACGACGAGGTTTTAGAGAAAATGGAAACAAAAAGGAAACTTATACTTATATTGGCAGCCATACATTTTTGAAGGAAAAAATATTGCCAGCCATACATTTTTGAAGGAAAAAATATTGCCAGCCATACATTTTTGAAGGAAAAATATTGTCAGCCATACATTTTTGAAGGAAAAAATATTGCCAGCCATATATTTTTGAAGGAAAAAATATTGCCAGCCATACATTTTTGAAGGAAAAAATATTGCCAGTCATACATTTTTGAAGGAAATTATTACCAGCCATAAATTTTTGAAGGAAAAAATATTACCAGCCATACATTTTTAAAGGAAAAAATATTGCCAGCCATACATTTTTGAAGGAAAAAATATTGCCAGCCATACATTTTTGAAAGAAAAAAATATTACCAGCCATACATTTTTGAATGAAAAAATATTACCAGCTATCATTCTTGAAGGAAAAAATATTGCCAGCCATAAATTTTTGAAGGAAAAAATATTGCCAGCCATACATTTTTGAGGAAAAAATATTGCCATCCATACATCTTTGAAGAAATAAAGTATTACCAGCAATATGTTTTTGAATACAAAAGATATTACCATCAGTACAGGCAAGAAAAAAAATATATTACTAGCAATACATTTTCGATAAAAAAAAAACCGATATTACCAGCAATATATTTTTGAAGAAAAAAATATATTACCAGTCATACATTCTTCAAGAAGAAAAGATATTAACATCACTAGATTTTTGAAGATAAAATATATTAACAGCAATACATTTTTGAAGAAAAAAATATATTACCATCAGTACATTTTTGAAGAAAATATATATTACGAGCTATAAATTTTGGAAGAAAAAAAGAAGTTACTATCAATTCATTTTGGAAGAAAAAAAGACAATACCAGGAATACATTTTTGAAGATAACTCAAACTCTCCCACGAGGGGCGAGAATACGATTCATGTTTGGAGAAAGTCCCAAAGCCACATACCGTTATACCGATATGAATTGACAGGTGAGGAATAAACAGTATAGTTTCATATCCTTTTTCGAATTTAAAAGATAACTTTGCATTGTTTATAAGAACGTGTAAACTCAGAAATTAAAGAACGAAATTGCAAATAAACATGTTTATCAAATTGATGATAAAGTGCAACCTCGATTCTGGAACGTCTCACATGTCGAACAAATCGGTTTTCGAACAGAAAATTCGAGATGAAAATGTTAGCAAAGTTTCGATTCTCGAACAAAATTACCAAACCGAGCCCAATCGAGTTAACCCGAATGGATTTCTTAGTCGACCGCCATATTGTATAAATTCGTGTGTTGGTTTTTGCTTTTCTTTTCCAATTTTATAGTACTATACCCCCTTTTTTCACTTCATTAGTCCCCTCTCTTTGCTCCAAAAAGGAATTACCAGCGATGATACAGTTAAAGGAAAAAGAAAAGTTAAGAGAACAACAATTGATATTCTGTCTATAATAATTATATTGTTCTGTTCTTACTCAGTTTCATATAGGAAAATCAACGATCTATACTATTCTTATAAATAAAGAGACGATTATGTCTTTCCGTCTCCTTTTCCAAACAATGACATCTCTTTCCTTCCTTTTCCACTAATGCCATCAACTCTCCTACATATAGGTACTGTAAAATGTTCGTCTATATTTTATCTGTTTAGTATTGGGTTTATTGATTTTTTTCTTATATTTAAAGATATTCATTAGTTTTGTATATAAACTTGTAAAGAAAGTACTGTTGCAAAAGTTTAAATAAGCAATCATCTTGGGACCAGGAACGGATTAATCTATTTTACATTGATTTCTGTTGTGAAAATAGTTACGTTTTACGAACAATTCGGCTTACGAACCGGCTTCAGGAACGAATTAAATTCGTGAACTGAGGTTCCACTGTATTAGTAAATACAGATTTTTTTTAATTGCACTAGAAGGCAAGTGGTTACAGAGAGTGTAAGTGAAAGAGAATGAAAAGATTACGAATGGGGAGGATTAAGGAAAGGACAATGGGATTTCCGCTTTGTTCTAAAGTCTTCTTCAACTCTATTCCCTGACGTCTTTGCCTGAACTCTGAAAATTTTATTCACTGATTAAATCTTGACCTAGTCGAGAATTATCCGTCTATCTTACCTGTTATCTGGAACTTTTCTTACGCTAATACAACTCCACACAGCAACTATCTAACTTGAGTGACTCTCAGGCCTTGTATTTAGTGAAGATTAGTAAAAAGAAAAAGGAACAGGGTTCTGAAAACACGATGGCGATTGACGTTGCATATACTTTTTTAAAGATTGTAGTTGCCTGGGAAGCAATAAAATCAGAAGGGAGTTCTACAAGTGGGAAGTGCGGGCAAAGAAATTTTAAAGTAGAAGTAGCGGTTGCATCTAGTTATTTAAGCAGTAAAATGGTGGCACCTAATTGCCACTATTTTATTTATTGTAGGGCTTGCCCCTTGTACACAAGTTGGACTCGTCCAATGAATACTTATACTACGGAGAGATAGCGTGACAAAAACGCCGAGAAAGGGTGTTCAACCAGAGTTATACAAGAGTCGAGAAAGAGAGATAATTACGGCTTCACTTACAGAGACTTGTACATATACTTTTCTACTAACCCGCATTCCTGGACTACTAATCTTCATTTCAAATTTGTATTCTTACGTTTCATACACATATTTTTCTATTTCAATTACTGGCGTTGTTTATTTATTTGTGCAGGATTACATCCCCGGAATTCACAACAGTATTGTTTAAATAGCTAGATGCAACCTCCACTTCTACTCTAATAGTTTCTTTTCTCGCACTCCCCACCTGTAGAACTCCCTTCCGAGTTTTTGCTTCCCCGATAACTACAGCCTAGTAGCGCACTTAAATTCATGTAGTCGGGGCACCAGGGGAGATACAAAGCTCGTCAGAGTAGTTGCCATGAAAAGATTTGAGGGAAGCCACGTGATGCCTGTGAGAAAGTGACTGAAGTTGAGATGCCTGGTCAGGATCGATGATATTACAGATCCTTCTTTGGATTTTATCAAGGATCACGGGTTGTGTAGAAGTAGCAATATACCCGATATGGCAAGCGTATTCAATGCACGAACGATTGATAGATTAAAAGGTCGTGTACAAACCATGGATTTTAATTGCTTCTGTACATCTGCTACATCTGGACTCTGGCGTCTTCTTCTTCTTCTTCTTCCTCTTCTTCTTCTTGGTGGCGAGGCCCTTGAAAATGTGGATGACCATGACTCTTCACAATAACAGTCTCTTGCAGTTCGTTCTTCCTCTTCTTCTTCTTCCTCTTCTTCTTCTTCCTCTTCTTCTTCTTCTTCTCCTTCTTCAATAGGCCATCTTCCTTCAAGGTATCTTTGCCTATCCTTTCTAGCTTTTAATAAAGTTATTTTTTCGCTCTCTCTCTTCATTAAAATTGTGTATAGGGATGTATATACACATGTAGGTATGTATATCCACATGTATCCATGTATATACACATGTAGGTATTATATATACATGTAGGCATGGATATACACATGTACACATGTATATACACATGTAGACATGTATATACACATGTAGGCATCTATATGCACATGTAAGTATGTATAAACACATGTAGGTATGTATATCTATATGTAGGCATGTATATACACATGTAGTCATATATACACACATGTAGGTATTATAAAAACATGTAGGCATGCATATACACATGTAGACATGTATATACACATGTAGGCATGTATGTACACATGTAGGCATGTATCTACACATGTAGGCATGTATATTTGAATTTAATGAAAGCTTCAATTATTTCTACAAAATTTGGGTCAAGTCACTAGATTACCTTAACCAACGCTTTTATCCACTGGGCCGTGTGTCTATAAGGGCCCCGGTGGACGAAATAAAAGGTTCAGTTGGGAATTTCAATCGCCTGAAGAAGGTTGGAGCGCACAACGGCCGAAACGTAGTGACTATGACAACAAAGATGAGGACAACAGCCCGAATAATGTAAATAATGTAAATAATTGCAATACCTTATCTAAAAAATATAGACATATCCTGAAGAAGGACAAGATATACAACGGCTGAAACGTCGTGAATATGACAATAAAGACGAGGACAACAGCCCGGACAATGTAAATAGTATAAATAGTTACAATACTTCAGCTCAGAAATTTTCGTAGAGTTCAGTAGAATTTTATAATAATCTGATCTTTTTAGTGTTAAAACATTTTTCTTGTCTCCAAATTTATAATTCTCTTGTTCAACACAGGGTAACGGTTGTCCAGACTGAGTGGGAAGGGAATGTATTATTCAAATGAATTGTTTCAAACTAGAGTCAAATGTGAGCGCCCGTGTGATTGTGCGTAAATTAAATAGTTCAAGCGCGTGTAAGTCAGTAGCACACAGCAAAGACACGTACACATATGGATTACATACGAATGGGCAAAGTCACACACAGAGAGTGTGTGGCGGACAGAGAATCAATGCTTTGTTTATAATACAGACTGATTTGATGTTTGTTGGTCGTCCAGCCCAAATCCCGAGGATTTTAGTACGGGAAGGAGACGTAAAATGATAAAAAGCTGAAGCGGGAAAGGATATGGAAGACGAGAGACGAACTAAAAAAAAGAGAGAGGGAGATAGTAGGATAGGAGGAGGCATGAGGGAGGGAAAGAGAGAGAGAGAAAGAAATAGAGAGAGAGAGAGAGAGTGTGCGTCGAAACATGGCCGTCGTCCCTAAGATTCTGTGACTGGTTAGAAAATACCAAATGTGCCATAAACCGTTCAAATTCTTTTCTTTTGTCGTGAGTCAGGTTAATGGGCCGAGTGCGGGGTGGGGGGCAGAGGTGGTTGTTGATGGGGGCTCATGGCGGATATGTGGGGTGCGTGTTGTTGATTTTCACTGTGCTACTTATTCCCATAAAGATGGTCCCTTTTCTATTTTGTTTTCAAAGGGACCCGTGCATCTAATTCACCACGTCTTCATTTATTTCCATTTCTCGTTGATATTTTTCATTGCAGGCCTCACCGACATTTTCTTTCTTTCTACCCTCCATTGCGATTTCCGTTTCCTTTCATTGTCATTGGCTTTTATTTCCTTCCTTTTTCTTTTTTCTTTTTCTTCTTCTTTTCGCGGGCTTTTTTACGATGAATATCTTCAGATTTCAGATGGCTTTCTTTATAGGCAAGTTTATAGTTTATAGTTTTTATTTTTATTTTTTTATTTAATTTCTTTCGTTCTTTATTTGAAAAAAAAAACTTTCTTTCTTTCTTTCAATCAACTTCTTTTTCCAAAACGTTTTTTTTCCTTTAGTCTAGCTCTTTATTTTCTTTTACTATTTCTTTCTTTCTTTCTTTCTTTCTTTCTTTCTTTCTTTCTTTGTTTCTTTCAACTTCTTTTCCAAAATGTTTTCTTTCCTTTACATATTCTTTCTTTCTTTCTTTCTTTCTTTCTTTCTTTGCGCTTAACTTCAATCTCCAAAACTTATTCTTTCATTTTCATTCACTCTTTCTTTCCAATATTTTTTAATTTTTTTTTATTATATTCTTTACAGATTTTTCTTTCTTTCCTTTTTTTGTGATTTTTTTCTTTCTTTTTTATAAATTTTAATCATTATTCATTCTTTTTATTTCATGTCATCTGATTTTTCTTTAATTTGCAAAAGTTTAATTGCAATGTTAATCGCCATCTACTGTGCTCCTGATTAATCTTTTCCCTTTTTTCTCATTACTAATATTTCTGTTCCTAATTCCTGCACACCCTGTGACCCTTTGTGATTTGGTGGCCATACTGCTTTGTTTGGAGTGATGTCCAAGCGGGTATCGGATGGTAATGCGTATTCGAAATTGTATGTCTGTCTAGTAGGAGAATTTCGAATATTATAATCATACCAGAATTTTTACGTGAGTTCCGGGTTCAAATCTCATCATCGATTTGTCAGGATGGTGACAAAGCATAACATGGCACAGTGGATAAAGGCATTAGTTAGATCCAGTGACAGGATCCAAAAAGTGTGAGTTGAATACCCAGTTAATGCAGTGGAGAACTTTCAGAGGGAAATTAACAGGATATAACTGATAACTGACATCCATTAAACATGGCACGTGGAACTAGAACAGTTTACCCCAGTGAGCGAAATAAAGGGTTCAGTTCGAAATTCCAACCACCTGAAGAAGGCCAGGCGTACAACAGCCGAAGCGTTGTAATAAACTTGACAAAGATTCAATAATAAATAGTGTACATAATACCTCACAAATATAGACAGATACTGTTAATAAATAAAGATTTCAATAGTTCGAATAATGTAAATAATGTACATAATACCTCATCTCAGAAATATAGACAGATACTGAAGGGCCAAAACGTTGTGATAAATATGGCGACAAAGATGAGGTCAATAGTTCCGAATAATATAAATAATGTACATAATACCTCATTTCAGAAATATAGACAGATGCTGAAAGGCCAAAACGTTGTAATAAATATGGTGACAAAGATGAGGGCAATAGTCCGAATAATGTAAATAGTGTACATAGTACCTCATCTCAGAAATATGGACAGATACTGAAGGGCCGAAACGTTGTGATAAATATGGCGACAAAGATGAGGACAATAGTCCGAATAATGTAAATAGTGTACATAATACCTCATCTCAGAAATATAGAGAGATACTGAAGGGCCGAAACGTTGTGATAAATATGGCGACAAAGATGAGGTCAATAGTTCGAATAATGTAAATAATGTACATAATACCTCATTTCAGAAATATAGACGTATATTTTCGAATTAGTATTTTTTCTCTTAACTATTTAGACGGAACAACTGAAACATAGTGTCTGATGAGAAAGCCGCAAGGACTGACTTGAAGTGCCTGAAAAGACTGACGTCTCTCTGTGCCTTCTGGGTGTCACGCTTTTCACTGACCTGAAGTGGAACAACTACAGCGAAGCAATAGCTTCAACTAGCGCAAAGAAAGTTGGTTCTCTTTGTCGCACGAGTCCATCTTTCAAATCTACAAATCATTCGTGCATCCATTGAATACTGTTGCCATATATGGTCTGGTGTCTCCTCCTGTTCATCTCGATGTCCACGACAAAATCCAGAAACGGATATTGTTATGGGATCTTACCCATAATAATAATAATAATAATGGACTATTCCATAGTTAATAAATACTGCGCCTCAGTCAGTAGTTCAAGTCGTGTCAAGAGTCGAGTCAGAGGCAGTCCGAAACAGAGTCGCGTTCAGACAATTACTGCAAGACATCGGAATAGTGATACTGGTCGAGACTACATTGTTCTCTCTACTAAACCTGATTGTTCATACTAACACTTTTTACTTCTCTGTATATATTCCTGTTTGTAATATATCTGTGTTATTCCATACCTGTGTTCGAGTTCTTCTTTATTGGTTCTACCTTGGACTATCACCGTGGTACAAGGAACCGGACCATAACAGATATGCAATGTGATAGGTCCTAATCTGGCATCTCGTCACTTTCTCACAGACGTGCTGTGGATTCCCTCTGTCTTTTCTACAAACATTTTCATGGCATCTGCTTTGACGAGCGACTTTCACTGGTTCCCCAATTGCTACTAGTTAGGCATCTAGGCCCCACCGAATCGAAACGTTTAAATGTAACCGCGTCTTCTACTCCAGCAGCTTCTACTGTCGCACTTCCCCACAGTGGAACTCCCTTCCTCTTACTTGCTTCCCTGATAGCTATAATCCTCAAATATGAAAACGTAATGCCAATCGACATCTTCTGAGGCCTTGATCCTGATCCCCGTCCTTTTCTATATCCTTTCCTCGAACACCCCCCCTCTTTACTCTTGCTTTCACTCTCTGTAAACGCTTGCGTGCTAGTGTCACTCCCGCCTTGCTTGTAGTGAAATGCTTAAAGAAAAACAAACAAACAAAATACAAGAAGACCGAAGAGGAAATGGGGAAAGGCTGTTCGACAGTTTCTCTCGTAGACGTAGCCAATGTGATTGTCAACCCCTTGCTTCATTACAGTTTGCTCATTGACAACAAAATTCAATCCCTCGCCATTGAATAACACATATACCGCGATGACGCAAATACACAGTGATCCTAAAAAGAAACCCGAATAACATGAAATTTCAATGTGTACAAATAGTTCAAATGTCGCTTTTTTTCCCCCAGAAATATACGCGAATACGTGAAATGTGAATGGAGGGGAAGAACCCAGAAAACGAAATATCGCAAATGTCCAAACTGGACGTAACAGATGACAGCAGGACACAACCAGCCCACACAAAAAAATAACAGTGGCCGAGGTATTTTGCTCTTAGACAGAATCAAGAAACGCATTCATTAACGGATAAGGAAGACCGGGACTAAAAAATACACGTAAACCGACAGAGAACTTATTCCCAAAATCTCGCTTGAAGATGAAACGGTACTAAACACCACAATCCAACTTAATTTTAATAATTATTTGGCTATTCCGTCTCTCGTTTTTGAAACATGAGAACTCTTATGTAGCGAAGGAATCATATTTTTAAACAAAAAATGAGATATTTTTGTAGGTACAAAATTCAATGATCGAAATAAAAGTATAAAATTTAATGTTACAAGACATATTAAACACACAAAAAAAAAAACACACAACAACGGGGGGTGGTGGAAAGCAACCGGTTTCGCTCCCGCTCTTCAGGATTCAACGGGAGATTCAAAATTAATACAGAAAAATGTACAATAAGGAACAGGTGGAAAAAAAAAATATATATATATCTATATATATGCAGAAGGAAGTAGAGACAGATGACAGCGAGTCCCAGCAAACACTTTTTTTTATTTTTTTTATTTTTTATTTTTGTGTTTAATATGTCTTGTAATATTAAATATTACTTTTTTATTTCGATATATATATATATATATATATATATATATATATATATATATATATAAGTATGTATCCGCAGATAGACTGTTTCACTATATCACAGCTGATCAGTGTAACTAGACATGGGACTGCTTCAAGCCTGGATCGAAACCCGACCGCTTTGACGGAGACTCTCACCCTCGGTCATCAGCACACGCTATGTAATGCAAAAGACAGTTTATGACGATTAATTGTACTGATTGACTTTTACAAATTATAAGTATAATCCTTCTCATACAAGTGGAAATTCCGTCAGAAATTACCTGAAGTTCATTTGCGAAAGAATATGATACAAGCTTTCGACTTCCCATTATCAGGGTTGGTAAAAGGAAACGGCGAGTTTCGAAGAGCGATAGATTTGCTTTGAGGCATCATCATCATCATCATGATTATCATATTCTCTCATCTTCAGTGACGTTGTGTACTGATTTGAGAATATTTTGACAGCCTTCTCTGTCTTCTGCGAGTTTTCGGATTTGTTGCAAATGTTCCTTGATTTTAAACTTCTTCAAAGAAAAAGTGGGATCTTTCTGCCTTGTCCTTTGAATGTCTCGTTTCAGCGTTGTGACTATGGGATTGTTGGATGACCTCTGAACTTTTTGAAAGTCTTTTCAAAGTGAAACTCACAATACAATGTGTGACATAGGCATTACACGAGGTAAGCAATGTGTGACGTATGCAATATGTGAGGTAGGCAATGTGTAACGTAGGCAATATGTGAGGTAAGCAATGTGTGAGAGGCAATGTTAGGCAATATGTGAGGTAGGCAATGTGTGAGGTAGGCAATATATGAGGTAGACAATGTGTGACGTAGGCAATATCTGGTAGGCAGTGTGTAACGTAGAGAATGAGGTAGGCAATGTGTGAGGCAATATGTGAGGTAGGCAATGTGAGAGGCAATATGTGAGAGGCAATATGTGAGGTAGGCAATGTATGACGTAGGCAATGTGTGAGGCAGGCAATGTGACAGTCAGTGTGAGGTAGGCAATGTGTGACGTAGTCAATGTGAGGTAGGCAATATGTGAGGTAGGCAATGTGTAACGTACGAAATAGGTGAAGTAAGCAAGCATTTAATCGCATTACGATTTGTTTTACCAATTCATTTCTCTTTTATTTTAAAAGTAAATAATATTTTTTTTTTTCCAAATCAGATTCATTTTACGTTAAATCAGCTAATATTCCACAGATATAGATTCGGAAAAGAATTTTTTTTTATTTATGAAAGATATTTAAAAATGAGAATTAACTTTAAAATGGCTGAATTTAAACGATTTTTGAAAGAGAGCAAACAGTTGAGATTTTAATCAATATAATTTCTGTTTGAAATACACCAGAGAATTTTGCTTACTGGAAATAAGAAATTTAATCATTTAGCTTTCAATTAAAACAAAAAACAAAATTTCAAGAAGTAATTTTCATTGTCAAAAAAAAAAACGCATTTTAACTCAGCGGTATAGAAAATTCACTGGAGGTAACTAGTACATGCATACATACACACACACACATATACACACACACACACACGGTCATATATATATATATATATACACGAACACACAC